CAAATATTATGTAAAGTAATGTATTCCAAAAGAAAATTGTGAATTTTCAAGAAATTATAAATCTCTAACTTGACCCTCTTCAAACTTCAAAAAATTAGAGAACACTTCTAGAACCCTGTTGAAATCGAAATTATCGACAGAAGTAGAAAATGGGGTCAATATTTTTCTTAAAAAAATTGTTTGTGTGTTGTCCTATAAATAGGACGCTGGATTATAATGGGTTAAAAAAACTGCTTCCTGTAAAATATTGTTTGTTTACGATGTTTTGCCCAAAAACCCATCGATATTATACATGGTTATTTATTTTATGTAATATTGAGGAAATTTTGTTAAATAAAAAAAAGCAGTAACCAACCTTTAATGACAGAGATTATCTGTAAAGACTTCACAGGAAAGTTTTTGTTTCTGTTTGTCCATCCACAATTGGGACTCACATCTACGCTAAAAACTGATTTTTCATCTTTCCCATCAATATGAGATAAACATTCTTTCTAAAAAAGAAAAAATAGCAACAAATTAAACCATAATCAAAAATTACAAATAATTCTTTTGTATTAGCGTCATTTTTTACTTTTTCCTCAAACTGTCTTACTTCCTCTATTGAATTTAAAGGAAGAAGTTCTGCTACGCCATTTTCAACACTTCCTTTTTGGGGTACCATGTTCATTTTTTCTACCCAGTCTTTCGTAATTTAACTGGAGTAGTACTAAGCATGATACTACAACTTAACAAGATATGATCACGCGCACGATCTCTTCTGTCTCCGTTCCTCCGCTGACGTCAGCGCGTGACAAACTTTTGGCGCGACTATTAGTATAGTGCTTGAATGCCCGCATTTCATTTTGTTTCCTTTAGTTTAATTCGTGAAATTTTGTGATTGTAGTACTGTACGGTTTATTTTAAATACGAGTACATTCTACAATCATGGTGTACTGTGCAGTTGAAGGTTGTACCAATAACAATTAACAATAATAGAAACTCTGTCGAGCTGCCGGTATTTTAGCTTTCCAAATGATACGGAAATTTGTCTGCGTCGGAAAAATTCCCGACTGCGTAGCAGGAGCGAATTTAACACCACTAGCATTATTATCTGGAATTTATTAATCAGAAGGGCATTTCGATATGAGTATTTACCGAATAATCGCTGCAACGTAAATTTAAGCTAAAAAAGAAGTTATCGATAACAATTGGTTTAATTTTAAAAAATAACGTATTTTCATACAGACCAAATTTTTAGGAGAATACTCGATAGTACCTATTTACTATCTTCTTGCATGCGAATAGTATCGTATTTTACATTATTAGGCAGGTGGGTGAGTTTTTACTGGCGATAGAAGTTACCTGGCGTATAATGTACAATATTTTATTTGTTACTCATTTATAAACAATTAGTAAACGTAAACAATCAGTTCTAATTGATCTCGAAGAAATGTCTATATCGCAATCCATGTAACAACGCTTACGCACTAATTGTTGCCAATGAAATTCTCATATATTATACTACTAACTAGTAAAATTTTCACAGGTCAGCACATCGAGAAAGTAAAAAAACGTTTCAATTGAGTAACAAATAAAAACCCTTTTCTTGCTTTTCTCCACAATTATTTTTATAAAAATAATATGCTCCATATTCGTCTCTCAGCTGTCTGTCTTTAGTGTAAATAGCCTATTTAGAAGGTGGTTTTTATTACTCTATGATACCGAACTTACTTACCGTCAACGGAAAATATAAATTATTATTTATTAGCAATAAAAATCCTAAAGAAATTACATTAAAAGCCGTGTTTTGCCTGATTTCCCGCGGTAAGTTTGTCACACGGTGACGTCATGCGCGACTCTGTTCCAAATGCGTTCTGATAGTGATCATATCTTGTTAAGTTGTAGTATCATGGTACTAAGCACTTTGCCATATATTTTGTTAGGTTAAGTAAAATGTCTAAAAAAAAATATAAGGTGAAGGTATCAATGGTTGATACTTTGAGAAAAATTTTGCAATTGAAAATTTATAAAACGATTCTAAAAAACAATTATGTGTAAGTCTTGGTTTTATTTTGCGATTTGACTTATTACCTACATCTTGTGATACGGAACAATCGAATACCTTTTAAAATGTATATTTACAAATTTTTCTAAATATCAAAAAATTGCCCCAAAAGTTGACGCATCAAAATTGGTGATGTTCCAATAGTTGACGCCTTTATGTTCTAATAGTTGACCTACTAAAAAATATGAATAAATGTTATGTTATTTAGTTCTTCTTGGACTGGTAACAAAAATATCAGAAAATCATACACATTTTAATAAAAAAATTACATTTTGACAACAAAATTTTTATACTTCGACATTTCAGGTACAACAAACAATCCTGTTTTGCAACCGGTGGGTTTATTTCCTCTAATACAAGGTGGCGCAATGGGTATTGGTTTTAGGAGTGTTATTATGGCTATACTAATTAAACGACTAAGGTCAGAAACATATATTTTTATTACACATATAATGCAGTTTTACAACAAATTTTATTTTTTAAAAACAATGTCTTTTAAGTGGCTACCACGTTTGTCTAAACATTCTTGGGTCGTGAATGGAAAAAAAAATTCTCTGTAACTCGTAGCAGAATCTCTCTAATGTTGCCTTTTACAGTTTCTAGCGTTTGAGGTCCTTTTCGAAAACCCTAGCCTTCAAATATCCCCATAAGAAAAAGTCAGGGCTGGTTAAATCTGATTCGCGCCGAAACTGTCGCTGGACCTTAATAACAGACTCCGATCGGTGATACGCTCTAACGCAAAAACTGCGTTGATTCACTGTCCAGTTAACCATGGCTACTAAACTGCATTACATGAGGAATATTTTAAGCGGTTGATTACCCCCTCCACTTACTCATATTCGGACAGTGGCGTCTCAGAAATCGTCAATACTCATTGCGCCACCCTGTACATCCTCTTCCGCATACCACATGATGTCCTCATGATCTGGCCATTTCCAGTCCATTAAACCACTTGGTATCATTGTAGAAATACGCACCTCTGATACATGATACATGATACATTAAATACATTATATGTTTTTGTTTTGACAAGTGTAAAATACTACCTGTATTACAAACACGAAATACATATTATTATTATTATTATTAAATTCAGTAATGCGTCCTACAGGAAATCAAACAATTAAAACGAGATCATAATACAAAAAAATCTCATCTGGAAAATATTCATCTCCATATTTCACAACCACAAACCCTCCAATACTTACATTGGAAAAATCCCCTAAGTCTGTGTCATGATTCTCACCATTTGATGTATGTGGCAAAGATTCGGTCCCATTTGTTAAAATTTCAATTTGTTTCGTTTCAGTTACTGCAGGAATTGAATTCTCAGCCCAATCATCGCATTCACCTTCAGATTCAAGATCCATATCAACTGATGAGTCTGAGGAAGATTCTTCGTGTATTTTTTTCTTTTTTTCGTTTTAGTCTTCAATCTTCCTTCTTTTAATTGCTCTCTCTTTCTCTTTTGCTCAACCTTCTCCCTTTCTTTGGAATCTTTTAATTCTTGTTTTTTAAGATAGTATGCTCACCACTGGTCGGAAGTTGCAACAGAAGGTATCTTGTCCTTACACCTTTTTGGCTTAACGCGAGGAACAGTTTTTGGCCAAAACAAAGTAGATTTGAAGGGAGATGGAATATTTTCGTCAACCCACTGCGAATTCGAACTGGAGCTTGCTACCGGTTCAGTTTAAGATAAAATTGTCGCAGCATGGGCCACTTTCTGGTTTCCCGCGATGTTATCTATATGATCGGTTTCATTGGTCAACACTTCTTCCACTGGAGTCCTTTGCAAAGCAGGCGCATGTACTTTTTCCTCCATTTCTACGTCTTCTATTATTCTATCTTCTCTGTGGTGCTCCGTGTATTCATTTGAAAGTTGTTTCCAAAGATAATACAACGAAGTATCCTCTATTCACTATTGGTTCATGCCATACCTCCTCGTTCTCTGATTTAAAAAGATTTAATTTTTCAGCACCAAGCCTACTTTCCAAATATTAAAAAAGTTCCTTTGTTTCATTATTAGTCGCATCATTTCCAGAGACCACATCAGGTCTAATACTTTTAAAATATTTTTTTCACTACTAGCGTCTGATGACATGATTATTAACCTTTTTTCCACTTGTAAAGTAGGCTTTCTCGGCATTTGTTCAAAGTGGTTAATAATATGGACATTATTAACTAGTAGTCAATAATGCGAACTGTCACGCTGTCACTTTTAGAAAACACAACTCCAAATTTCGCTCAATAAACGTTTAGACAAGTTCTCTAAGGGTACGTTCCATTTGACGCTACCAAAAATGCAAATGCTTTACTGCAAACGCTTACAGAAATAGTGTTCCATTTGAGGAAGTAGAGCTTCAAATGGAACGATGCGGAGCACTGATAGATGTTTATTTACGTTTTGAGGTTAAGTTAGTATTTGTATCGATGATTTGTATACGATTTAACCCTTGAAGTATTCTGTAATAATAATAATCACTAAAATAAAATGGATAAAACTACCGTCGCTTTGTTGTTAACGACAGCAAAATTTGTTTTTCATAATAATTATGCTGATGAGGATGAAGATATGGCGCGACTCTGTACTATGCATTTAAGGTTATGTTGCTATCTGTCACCCATTCTGTCACCTTGCGTGTGCTTCGAATCATCTAGTTTATCGTAGTTTCGTGCCTTTTTATCAAGCTTCTCAATTCCACAAACCAAACTGTTCTTTTGAGAACAACTTTTTGTCGTACTGTGAAGCGTTATTTATTACGGTGACGAAGAATTTGGGCAGCACTGCTAAAAAAATGGTAGCTACTTTAATTCTGTATTTTGAGCAAGAGCGTAACCATGGAGGCCTCTTGTTACCTTTGCAGGCAGTAAGAGAGGTAACAAAAGCATAATTTTTACGTTAGGTACCTATTCTACTAAGTATAATTATCGTAGAGAGTGGCACAAGCTTTAAGTATCAGTATCTCCACGGTCAGTACCATATCAGCGGCAGTGAAGAAGAATGAAGTGTTGACGTCGCCTTTAAAGAATCGCCCTCGCCTTAAGCCTGTGACAGATGTATCTAATTTGAACGTCGATGGTATTAGAAACACAATTTATGAAATGTACGAAAACAGTAAGTTGATCACACTTTGTTTCACAGTTTGTGTAATCAGAGTTGCAGAAGTGCATGTTACATTGGCATCTGTGCATGAACAGCTTCGTGAAAAAGTCATTTTTCATGGTTCATTTGGCATCATTGCGAAAGAAGAAAAGAAATTGGATTTAAATGGAAAAAATACGAGCCCAGGCGAGGTCTAATGGAACTACCCCATGTGGCAAGTAAAAGAATTCGTTTTCTGCGCCAATACAAAGATTTCAAGGAAAAAGATTTGTACCAATTTGTTTTTCTTGATGAAACGTGGATATTACAAAATGGCACTATACAACACTCATGGCAAGATAGTAATGAAAGAAGTGTGAAAACCATCAAAACTGATGGAAAGCGGTTGGTTTATTATTAATAGTGGTAACAATAATTAAAAAATATGTTACAGACAAATAATTCTGCATGCTGGGAATGAGAAAGGATTCATACCTGGTGCAAATTTAATATTCGCATCAAAAACTTGTGGTGATTATCACGGAGAAATGAACCAGACGAATTTCTTACATTGGTTTCAAAATCAATTGCTTCCAAATTTAAGTGAACCGTCTGTCATTATTATCGATAATGCGCCGTATCACAATATGGAAGTTAACAAAGCACCTAATGTTTCATGGAAAAAAGGTGACATTCAAAGCTGGCTAACTAATGAAGGAATTATATATTCTGAGCAGATGCTTAAAAGTGAACTTCTGTTGAAGGTGTCACAGTAAGTACCCATACCTGTTTTATATGTATAAGAATTTTTATTTCCAGAAATAAACCAGAAAAAACATATTTTGTTGACCAATTAGCGGAACAATATGGTCATAAAGTGTTGCGCCTTCCACCCTACCATTGTATTTTTAATCCCATAGAGTTAATATGGGGTATAACAAAAACTTATTATAATAAACATATTGGTAGAGATGGGAAAACAGAGGCTGATTGTTTAAATATGTGGCAAGAAGCAGTTAATGTCGTGACACCAGATATGTGGAAAAATTCAATCAAACACACTGAAGGTGAAATAATGAAATGGTATGAAAGAGAAAAAATGTTAGATATGCAAGATATCGATACCTATTTGCCAAAGTATCGTAAGCCGCAATTTTCCCCAAAAATTACTTTTCTGACTATCGTAAGCATCAGACTTATTGTAAACGATCCACCAAACTATCGTAGGTCAATAAAAGCAAAATTAACAGGAAAAGAGGTATTTGTTTTGTCGTAAGTACGTTAAATTCCTTGCGATGAAGACCAAAGTAACGTAACCAACGTTCATTTTCCGAGTGGTGACTGCAAAAGTATCGTAAATAACATCACCTGATGTTGTTTACGATACCTACTATGTCGCTTAAGATACTTCAGTGTAACAAGGTGATTCAGTGTGCTGACAAACGGTAAGTGTTTTTTCTAATTTTATTGCAAAGTGGTCATGCGAGACCAGCCTAGATGATTTTAAAATACTTCCAATGCTCTACTGTAACTTTGGTTAAAAACGGAATTGTTTCAAAATTTAATTTTGCCTTTTTTATAACGAAATCTTTCTAACCTCAAAATCGACGTGCTGGTCTATTAGTTAATAAATAACGTAAAAACGATTTCTATTAGGAATGATGTTGATTAAATCTAAACTTTTCTAGTTCCAAAACTGAAAATGGCAAGAAAGCTGAATAGAGCCGGTAAAATAGTTGAAGCGGCACTTTCAAAATTTTCATTATTTACCGACAAAGATTTTGACAAAATGCCAGTTGATATTGTAGCAGTAGGACCTGATGATGCTATAACCGAATTTCAATCTGATGAGAATCTTTTGAAAGACACGCTACTATGTTGGTCTAACAATGAAATCCCGAATATAAACTGTGAACAAGACACTAATGAATTTCAAAGTACTACAATACTTTGTGAACAAGCTAAATCTTTATTCCCTGCCAATGTTCACTTAATACGAATGAAGTAACGGTGCAATTCGAGGTCAGTAATTCAGGTAGCAACCTTAATGTTTTGGAGAATAATTCCTGTTTAAATTACTCCCCGATTGTGCCAAATTCAAACAATCCTACTGAGACAAACCATTTCAACGACGACACACCAGTTACCCTTACTAATTCATTCTTCTCCAATCCAAATTTGGATTACAATTCACTTCAAGTTGATTGTAGTTTTAATAACACCGAACGTGCCAGACTGAGGCTTGTCGAATATGATTCTTCATCAGAAAATAGTAATCAATCTGTAGAAAAATCCACACCAGCTCAAAATACTAAAAATAAATTATTTAATCGACATGACTCTAATAGGTCGTTCTTTTCCAATGAAAATGGTAATGATTCCGATTTTGAATTAACTGATGAAGATAGTGAAATGAATGAAGATGAAGACATGGGATTTGTAGGTACCACCGGATTACGAAAAAGAAAACAACTTAACAAAAAGACCACGAAAAGAATGGAAAATACACTTGGGAAAGGAAGGAAAGTGAAGAACGTACCTTGTAAGATAAGATGCCAAAACCAATGTGCCAAAAACTTCACGGAAATGGAAAGGCACAATATACACGAATTCTATTGGGGCTTAGGGAATTACGAGCGTCAACGTAATTGGCTTTTAGCTTGTGTTGAAAATAAGCCAATTCGTCGGAGAATTCAAATTGCATCAGTAAGCAGAAGACACAACTCATACAAATACTTTATAAACTGGGATGATAAGCGCATCGAAGTGTGCCAACAATATTTGTTGAATACGCTTGACATTTCTCAGATGACATTGAGATACGCTGTTAATAATGGTCTGCATAAATCAGCGAAACCTGATGGGCGAGGTAAACATGCCCCACATAATAAGACACCTCATAAAGATAAAGAAGAAATACACAATTTCATAAAAAGTCTACCGGCGGTTCCTTCTCATTATTGCCGAAACAAAACTACTCGCAAGTACCTTCCATTAGAGCTGAGGAACATAAGTTTTCTCTACAGATTGTTCCTAAAGCATCAAGACGGGAACGGTTCAACTGCCAAACCATCACTTAATATTTTTAGGGAAGTATTTCTAAAAGACTTCAATTTAGGATTTCATCAACCCAAAAAAGATAAATGTCGAATTTGTGAATGTCGAAAAGATAGTGATTTCAAGGAAACAGAAGATTCTAAGGAATCGTTTGAAAAACATTTGCAATTGAAAGAAAAAAGCAAAGAGATGTTTTTAACTGACCAAAAAAAGGGCCTCACTGATGATTCTTACGTTTGTGCTAGCTTCGATCTTCAGAAGGTGTTGAACACTCCACATGGGGACAATTTATTACTGTACTATTCCAGAAAGTATTCATTTTATAATGAAACGGTATATGAAAGTGGTACAAGAAATGGCATTTGTTTCACATGGGGCGAATCGGATGGAAGCAGGGGGTGCAACGAAATTTCTACGGTAATTTTCAAATATTTGGAAATATTGGACAGGAAAGCTACAAAACATGCGATTCTTTACTGCGACAGCTGCTCAGGGCAAAACCGCAATCGAGTCATGCTGGTAATGCTGCAAAAATTCCTGCAGGATACGGCAAAAACAATACAAACCATAAAAATTGTTTTCTTGCTCCCTGGGCATGCCGGTGGATTCCATTCACGCAACAATTGAAAGATTTGTTCGTAAGAAAATGGTGTGGGCGCCATCTGAATGGGATACCATCCTTACAAATTCAAGAATTAATCCCAGACAATTGGACGTTGTGAGACTCCAGCATTTTGATTTTGTAAATTGGAAGAAACTGGGTGAGGAATGCTTGCCTTCTAATGTTAAAACTGCAGATGGCCAAACATTCAAAATTAGCCTAGTAAGGCAGGCAAAATTCAAAAAAGGAAATTCGAACATCGAAGTTAATTATAATTATGAAGACTCCGCTGGTATACGTGTACCGATAAATCAACAAGGCACGTTATGATTTCAATAACGTTTTCATAAAGTCTATTTATTCTTCATTTTTAGGTCGAAGAAGCCGCCATTTTGATGTTATGTCAGCGACACTGTATCCAGCAAAGTTAGAAATTTCAGTACTGAAGAAAAGGGACCTGGACAACTTATGCAACAAAAATGATCCCCAAACGTTACCAGCAAGAATACTTCGACTTACGTTCGAAAGCTTCTGTTAAGGATAGGTTGGCAGAAACTGATGCGGAAGATGGTACAGACGCAGAAGATTGAATCTTAGTAGAAAATTTATTTGTTTCGCTTTACAAATTGACTTGAAAATATTTTATTTTGGTTTACATGAATAATAACTTTTATTTTTTTTACTTTCATTTGTTTAGAGCGCCACCAAGCACAATTCCCGAAGCACATCTTAGTTTTAAAGCAAACCAAACTATCGTAAGTATAGTGACAACACTACCAAAGTATCGTAAGTTGGTCACTTACGATAATTTGGAGTTATTTTCCTGTCCCACAAAAGTGACGTAAGTGACAAAAACTCATGAATACGTTATCCTGGAGCAAAAATGGTGCATTTTTTGTCAAAAATATGCCCCTAAAAAGATAATATGCACATTTGGAACTATTTTATTAAGTGGTTTCTGAGATATCAAAAATCGCTCCTTCCTTAAAAAATAGATATTTCTGCTTACGATACTTTGGCAAATAGGTATCGATATACTGCCAATTATAATAAATTTAGGGGAAGACAGTGACAGTGACACAGAAGATTCTTGTTAATTTGCAAATTAAGTAATTTGTACTTATTTACATTGTAAGATTATAAAATAATTACATAAAAGTGACTTATTACTGCAAAATACTATCCCCTGGCTTTGATGGTCAAGTATGACATGTAAATTGTGAAGCCTTTAAACCATGTAGAAAGGTTAATTAATGAATTTATCGAAATTTCTGTCGGTTCTTAACTTTCCAGCATGTAACTTCAAAGTGTTAATCCTTACATAAAGCTCCAACATTAAAAAGTCGATCGGTTGTAAGCAATTGATATTCGACATTCCTGTACACGTAGATATCTTGTACTTCATGACAACTGAATAAGTATCGAGTTAAGATTGGTAACCTATATAGGTTGTCTGGTGGGTTTATTTTTGTATAATTTTCTTGTGTTAATGTTTATTTGATTCAAGTTTTCAAGATTGTAAGGATATATTAATTATGAGTAGGTACTGAGTGGGGTACCTACTATAAAAAAACGTGTGGTTTTATGGCTGCAATTTAAAGGTAATTTCATGCACGTAAAAGCGATTCTAAAATTATTGTTGATACTACATGCTTAGTAGGTCAAATGTGCAAGCAGTAGATACAATGATTTGTAAAATATAGTTCTATAGTATACTAAATGTTTGTCAACGCTGCATAAGAACGACGTCAGAAAATTAATGACGTGCAACTAAACGGAAAACTTATTATTTTACCTATAATTGAAATATCAACCAACGCTTCGGGCAATATCTGGCTAACATATTAACTTAAATTTACACAAGAGGGCAGCGCAATTAGGCGCTTCAAATAAAAACTGTCTACAATTGATTTAAGTCTGGGGTATACGAGACCCCACGGTGTCTTTTTGTTAGTAATAGAAGGTTGGCAATATGATGTTGGTAAGATTGGGAGTAACAAAATGATGTAATGTAACCTCATGTATCATAGTGTTTAGAATATTATTAAATATAGTTTATCCAAACTCATCCACATTTATTTCATTGGTTATGGGTCCAGGCACCTACAAGTAAAGTACGATGGATATGGAAATGCAACGATTAGTGTAAATAAGTTAGAAGGAGCCACTAATTGGAACGTGTGGAAATTTCAACTACGAGTACTACTTAAGGGTCAGGATCGAAAAGGATGCAAAAGCTCAAAGTATTATCGTGAACCGTTTGTCAGAAAGTGCGATGCTGCATGTAATAACATGTGAGTCGGCATGTGAGATGTGGAAGCAGTTGTTAAGTATATATGAAAAACGATCGACGGTGAGTGTACACTTAGTACAGCAACGTTTCTTTGCATTCAAATATGGTGGAAAATCCATGTCTGTTCACGTAGCGAAGTTACAAGAAATTAGTAACGAATTAAAGCAATTAGGTCAAGAAGTATCGGAACAAATGCTTATGACAAAACTGTTAATGTCACTACCACAGGAATACAAATATTTCGTTTCTGCATGGGAGTCCGTAGCAGAAGACAACCAGAAACTTGACGAGCTGATTGGAAGACTCCTGATGGAGGAGGATCGAATGAAGAACCAAGACGAATGCACAACATCTGCGTTGGCTGCAAAAAGTCGGAAAAAGGAATTACGGTGCCATCACTGCGGCAAAGAGGGGTACATTAAGAAATTCTGTAGAAGCGGGAATTCTGAGGGTAAAAAAACATTGTCGTGTTACTACTGTAAAAAACCCGGACATAAATTCAGTGAATGTCGATACCGAATTTTGAAGGACAAGGGGTGCGATAACGGTAGGGAAAAGAGCAACGCGTTCGTAGTTTCCGCAATGAACTGTAAATCGTCGAGCAGCACGTGGCTAGTCGATAGTGGTGCGAGTGAACACATGTGGTACGAGCGGGACCTATTTGTAAACTATCTTAAATTAACCTTAGAAAAGGAAGTGGTTATAAGGTAAACTCACCTATTACCGCCCTAGTTAAGGGAGTACTGTATGTTTTCAAGGTTATTTATTAACGTCCCTTACTATTTCATAGTAAAACTATATATTTTATATTCTTAAGAATTTATTAAAACATGAAAAAAATACATACACAATGTTAGGTTTCCCTTGCTTTTATAAAAAATAGACTCAAAAGTGAAAATGGAACATTCTACCTAATAGCGACCCAAGTATTTTGTTATATACCTATTACCGATTTTATGTAACCTTTTACCGCTTATGGACAACAACTGCTGGGTATCAACATCACATAACAATATTTTGCATTAAAAAAAAAACAATATACATTTTAAACAGTAGAGCTTTTCCTTAAACAAAACTTATTTACTTAGATACTTTTTTTTTCGCAAATCCTCCATTTGTGGAATAGTATATATTCCCCTGCTATTAATTAATTCTGGAGGTTCTATTTTAGTTATATCTTTTTCATTATATGTTAAAATATCTTCCTTTTCGGGCCACTTCCAATTAGATCCACTAACCTCCATGGCTTTTACTACTATTCCTTCCTTATTAATTTTGCATACAAGTCCCGGAAATAATTCCTCTTCGTAAGTTATCACGACATAATCCCCTTTAACGAAGGTGGTTAATTGCTTTTCAGGGTCTGGTGGTCCATCTGTTTTTTTCTTCTTTGATGGTTCATTTGCTTTAGATTCCATTTTTAATTTTCTTTGTTTTTTCTCATTTTCTTTCTTCTCCTTTTCAGCTTCGATCCTTCTCTGATATTCCATAAATTCAACTGATATAGCCACTATGGGCGTGAGTTTTTTGGTAACTTTTTAGCGCATTTTTGCAAAAAATTTTTTTTTGTAAAAAGTAGCTTTTAATCTCACTTTGGCTGGCTGGCTGGCAGTAAATGCACGCCCGTAGAAAAACGCTTGTAAAAAGACAATGAGTGTACATGTAACTATCGGGGCCGTGTAATTAAGAACGTTAGGGATGGGGCTACAAGATTTGGAATCGACGACATCTGGACGCCATCCCCGAGCGTATTATACTAACCTGAAGATTTTTCAGTTTTTATCTATCTTCTTCTACAGTTTTTCTCCGATTGTTTTCAAATTGGTGTCGTCGGGAAGATCTTGTCAACGCGCACAACTCCTGCGTTGCGGAATTTTGTTTTTTTTTCCTAGGGGCGAAATAAACCACCTTTTGCGCGGCGCGCTTCGAGGGGTAGTCGACTTTGGGCGCCCAAAAGTTTCTTACAGCGCGAATCGCGGTCTCTCTTTCTCGTGTCACTAATAGAAGGTCGAGCTATGTGAAGTGCCCAAAAGTTGAATACGAGATCTTACTGATGGTGGAGTCGAAACTTCAAATCCGAATTGTTGCGGGTGATCAGAAGTGGGTGTCGACAAAGGGAATATGGTAACCCCCAAAGGATTTTAATGATGGTGGAGTCAAAACTTCAAACGCGAATTGCGAGTGCACGGTAAGTGAGAAAATGGCACCGACAAAGTGAACGTGGTAGCTTTTGGCAAGATCTTATTGATGGTGGAGTCAATATTGGCTAATAATACACTGATCTGCCACACAAAAGTGCGCTGAAGTCCCTTCGATCTCACACGAGGACTTTGATCATTTTTTTTTCTTTGCCGATTCTACAATTTTTTTGGGAAAGTAGAAAGAATGTTTAAATTGAGTAGGTATCTTTTTAAAAGGAGTAGGTATATTATTTGTCGGGGAAGCGAGAACAGTCGATTCATTTTGAAAATTATCCATCAAATTTTCTTTTCCCTGATCATTTTGGTCAGAAGTGTCACTTTTCTTTAATGGAGTTAGTAGTATCACTGGTTCCAAATTACTTTGAGGCAACTGATTGCAAGGTTTCAAGGATTCTGCGGAGGTTATGTTATTTCTTTGCTCTGTAGTGAGAATATTATCTTCACCACTTCCCAATGGACTAATCGGAGTGGATTCTACAGGGGTTATACTATTTCTTTGCTCTGCAGTGATTATACTATCTTCACCACTTCCGAATGGAGTAGCTGGAAGGGATTCTAAAGAGGTTATGCTTTTTACTTGCACTGCAGTGAGCATAATACCATCTTCACCAGTTTCTAACGGAATAATAGGAGTGCTGTGAGCGACACTTTTGAGTACAGTATTGTGTATTTCATTTGGCAATGATTCAACGCTACATATTGAAAGATTCACATCATCTTGCACTTCCAAATCAATTGTGTGCCAACCATTTTCAGCAAATTCGTCAAATGTATTTGTGATGTTGTTGACAAGTGTAGTATCATTTAAAGTTAAATGTAT